GAGACTGCCGCTGCAGCACAGGTTCGTCCGGGGAAGGGTCGCCACCCCAAGGCTGGACGTGGCGACGGGGGTGGGGGTGCGGGTGTAGGTGGTGCTGGAGTTGGGTCACCTGGTAATGGTGCTGATGCGGGGACCCTGACAGGTGCAGCCGAGTAGCCGTCTCAGCAGTCGTCGGTGTTGCAGCCGGACCCGCGCCAGCCGCAGCAGCTGCAGCAGACGCAGCAGCCGCCGCAGCTTCAGCCGTTGCCGCAGCCGCAGCAGTCGCAGCAGCAGCAGAGGCGGACGAGTCGTCTTCCGCCTGGGTGGCCCGATGCTGGTGGCAGCGCTGGATGTGGTGGTGGTGCGCGTGGTGGGTTGCCGAGTGGTGGTTCGGGTGCCGCCCGCTGTCAATACCTACTTCAGACCGGTCCTTGCCGTGGCTTCGTTTGCGGTAAGATCGGTCATACCTCCGTCCGCTGTTTCCGTCGCCTGGACGACCTGTTTCGTCAGCGTTTCGGCCCGTCGCCCGAGCTCCCAGACTGGCACAGCTTGCTTAGTCGTAGGGTTCAGATTTTTGATCTGGACATGGATGAGATTGTTGTTGCTCTGCATGTAATGTATGCTGATGACTCTAGTGTGCTTCCGTCTTATTACCCCTTGTTGCCTAGTGTAGGTGTGCCTTCCTTAGACTCCCCTGCTGCGTCAGGCGTAGGATCCCCTGCTTTGTTTAGCCTTGGTGCTTCCGTCGCTGCTTCGCCTCCGGTCGCCACTGCCGCGCTCTCCTTCACCCTCAACTCTGGCGCTTCCCGGTGCTTCTTCCGCAACTCCACTACGTTGATGCCACTTCCTGTCCCTGCCGCAGTCTCCCTGGCTGACCCCTCCTCCGGCCCTGTAGTCGCCCGCAGTTCCACCACCCTCCCCTGCCCGGCGGTTCTTTCGGGCTCTCTCACTGGCCTGCACATCCCCTCGTTCTCCAGGAACCTAGTTGGTGTCGGCTGCCTCCAGGACCTTGGCGTCACCACTACGTTCCGTGGTCACGAGCGGTACACTGTTTGTACCGAGGCCGCCTCTAGTGCCCCTCTTAGCACGTTCCCCCAGGACCCGGTGTCCGGACTGTTCACACTGGACACTGTGACCCCCCCGGCTAGGACCCCCCCGCAGGTGGCTGCGTCTACCCTCGTTGCTGCTGCCTGCTCCTGTTGGTCACTCACCGACCCGACTCTCCTGTGGCACCACCGTCTAGGTCACCCAGCGCTCCCGCGTCTGTGTCACATGTCACAGCACGGTCTCGTCCTAGGCCTCCCTGGGTCGTTCTCTGAGTTTCCCTCCTCCCGTGCCCCACCTTGCACACCTTGTGTCGAGGGCCGGCTTCGCCCTGCTCCTCACTCCTCCTCGTTTCCCCCTACCGCCGCACCGCTATAGACTCTGCACATGGACGTATGGGGCCCGCCCCCGTCCATGGGCCGCGTCGAGAGCGCTACTTCCAAGTGCTTGTCGATAACTACACGAGCTATACCACTGTGTTCCCCCTGGATCGAAAGGCCGACTATGCCTGACGTTCTTATCCCGTGGCTTGTCGCTGTGCGTGTCTGTCACGGTCTCCCTATCTTGCGCCTCCACTCCGACCGTGGTGGCGAGTTTGCCTCTGGTGTCCTTGGTCGTTTCTGTCGTGCGGAGGGCATCACCCAGACGTTCACCTTGCCGGACTCCCCGCAGCAGAATGGGGTCGCTGAGCGACGCATCGGTTTGGTCATGGAGGTGGCTCGCACCTCCATGATCCATGCCGGTGCACCCCATTTTCTGTGGCCGTTCGCCGTTCGCTACGCCGCTCACCAGCTTAACCTGTGGCCGCACCCCCAGCAGCCTCAGGTTTTGCCGACCCTTTTTTGGTATGGGTCACCTGGTGATGCGTCTGCGTTACACGTCTGGGGCTGTCTTGCTCACGTTCGTGCCTCTAGCACAGACAAGCTCACTGCCCACACCCTTCCCTTTGTCTTCCTCGGCTTCCCCCTTAACGCGTCTGACTGGCACTTCTACCACCTGCCGTCTCACCGGTTCTTTCACTCCCGTGACGTCACCTTTGACGTCTCACAGCCGCTTCCCCCTCCGAGGTCCCCCGGTTACCCCTCCCCTGTTCCTGGTCACCCCTTCCTCGGTCGTCGCTGCCCCTCCTCCTCCCCCTCCCCGTCCTGCCCCCTCTGGTGTGTCCCACGTCACCCCACTTACGTCGGTTGTACCGGTTGAGGAGTCTGCTGACTCTGGTGGTCCAGCGGCACAGTCCTTACCGCCTGCCCCTTCTCAGGTGTCTCCTCCTCCGCCGCCTTCGCAGCCGCAGTCGCCACCACTATCGCAGCCGTCGTCACCGCCGCTGCCACCGCCGCAGCCGTCGCCGCAGCAGTTGGTTGCCTCAGGGGGTGCTAGAGTTGGGGTGGGTACTAGTCCTGGGACTCCTGTCGTGGCTTGTCCCGGCGGGCCTGGGGGTGGTACTGGTGCTCGAGGGGTTCTGAGCTCTGGGGGTGTTTCTTCTGGGGGTGCTGGTGTGGAGCGTTCAGGAGGTAGCCACCCGGCAGCTTGCGGTCCCGGTGTCGGTGTCACACCGCCGTCACAGCAGTTCCCGCCGGTGTCCGCTCTTCGCCTGCTCGGCCTTCCGTCTCCTGACCCCGTGCCTGTGCCTCCTCCTCCTCCCGTCTACGGCCCTGTGCTCCCTCCTCCGGACTCGTCTCCGGCCCGCTTCCCCTCTCGTTCCCCTCCTGTGTCTCCTCCTTTGTCTCCTGACCCGACTCCTCTGTCTCACGTCTGGTCTCGCCGTCCCTCTCGTGCTCGCCCTGTCTCCCCTGTCTCGCGCTCTCACCCTATGTTGCTTCGTTCCCACACGTCTCGTCCTCCCCTTCTTCCGTCGCCTCCTCCGTCCTCCCTTGTCGTTGCTCCCCCCCCCCTCTGTCTGACTAGCTGCGTGCAGCTCGTCCTCTTGTTCCTTGGGTCCTTGCCTCTCTCGTTACCAACCCGTCTGTTTCGAGCCTTGACGCCCTTGTCGCTGCGGTCGCTGACTTCGCCTCTTCCCGCCGCCTTGACTACGCCACGCTCTGGTCTCTGACCCTGCCTGTCCTCCGTCTGTCGGGGGTGGTCCTGCCCTTGGCAGTGACGTCCTGGAGGACCGCCAGTACGAGCTTGCTTTCCTGTCCGAGGCTGCTTCCCAGCTCTGTTCCATGCTTCTAGTCCCTGAGGGTGACCTCGACGCTTTCGACATCCCGACCCCTCGCACTTACGCTAAGGCGGTCTCGGGACCCTGGGCCTCTCAGTGGATAGCTGCCATGGAGCAGGAGATGGCATATTGGAGATCCACCAGCACCTACGTCGACGCAGTTCCCCCACCTGGGATGTACGTAGTCGATGGCCGTTGGCTCTTCAAGGTGAAACGCCCTCCTGGAGAGCCGCCTGTGTTCAAGGCGTGCTATATGTCTAGAGGTTTCAGTCAGCGTGAGGTGGTGGACTTCTTTCAGACTTTCGCTTTGACCCCGAAGATGACTACTCTTCGGGTGCTGCTACACGTAGCAGCTCAGCGTGACTACGAGCTTCATCCCTCGACTTCTCCACTGCGTTTCTTCAGGGCAGTCTACACGAGCAGGTATACCTGCGCCGCCCTCAGGACTTCATTGGTACCTTCCCTCCTGGTACCCAATGGCTCCTGCGGCGCCACGTCTAAGGCCTGCGGTAGGCTCCCCGTGAGTGGCACGACACGCTGCGTGCTACGCTTGCTGACCTGCAGTTCTTTCCGTCCTCTGCAGACCCCTCGCTCTTCTTTCAGGCTGGCCAAACCCCGTTCTACATCCTTGTTTACGTAGACGACGTGGTCTTCGCCACGGCAGACAGGGACGCACTGGCCTCCGTGAAGGCAGAGCTGCTGAAGAGACACACCTACACTTACCTTCGAGGACTGCGCCACTACCTTGGCTTGCAGATCTCCAGGGACAGAGCAGCGCGCACCATCACTTTGGCTCAGTCACACTTGGTGCGCCAGGTCCTTCAGAGGTTCGGCCTTCAGCTCTCCTCCGCACAGCCCACTCCTCTGCCTCTAGACCACAGGCTCTCCGCTCCAGTTCCTGAGTAGTCAGGAGAGCCTAGTGGTCCTTACGCAGAGGTGGTGGGTTGCCTCATGTACCTGATGACTTGCACTCGCCCAAATCTCGCATATCCTCTCAGCATCCTGGCTCGCTTTGTGGCTACAGGCAGACACCGACCTCAGCACTGGTCGGCCGCTAAAAGGGTTTTGCGTTATCTAGCAAGTACATCGGGCATGGGGTTAGTGCTAGGAGGACGCTGGCCAGTGGTCCTTACTGGACACACAGGCGCTTCTTGGGCAGACGACGCCGAGACCCTCAGGTCCTCGCAGGGCTACTGCTTCAGCCTTGGTTCAGGTGCCGTCTCGTGGAGAGCTACCCGCTCGTCGTCTGTTGCCTAGTCCAGCTGTGAGGCCGAGATCTACGCCGGTGCCATGGCGGCACAGGAGCTCCGCTGGCTGACCTTCTTGCTCACTGACTTAGGTGAGCAGCCTAGCTCTGCACCAGTCCTGTACGCTGACAACAGGGCCATGATCCTGTTGTGTCAGGAGCCTCGACTCGAGGGCAGAGCGAAGCACATCCAACTGCGGTACTTCCTCCTGCGTGAGCTCCAGCAGTGCCGTCAGGCCCGCGTAGTACACTTGGCCTCCGGTGCCAACACAGTTGATATCTTGATGAAGGTGCTTGCGCCTAAAGATCATCAGCGGCACTGTGTACAGCTAGGTCTCGTTCATGTAGCCTCTCACTTGCTAGGGCCTTAACTTTGTACTGTGCTTTATATATATATTTGACCCTGACTGGCCTTGTGGCCACTCCTAGTGGCCGGACTAGTAGTGCCGCCCTGGACTTGCTCTCACCTTGTCTAAACTCCTTGTCTCAGAGGCTGGACTAGTGGTGCCGCCCTGCACTGCTTCTTCCCTTGTTAGGAACTACCCCTATATAGTTTAGGGGGTGTGTCAAACATAACTTATGCAGTTCCTGTAGACTATACATGCTTGTGCGTTAGAGGGTACAGTTCACTAGTCTATATTGTCTTGTATCTCTAATTTCTAGTTTATTATTACATTCTGATACAAACACCATCACGATTCACTACCAAAACGTGCCCAAGTCAGAACCATTCAATCTACAGGGGGCGCAGGGAGGGATAGTCCTCGAGCATGTCGCGCGTGGTGAGTGTGTCCTCCTCGTTTTGAGGCGTCCAGAGCACCTCCACAGCCTGCCATCGGACACATGTAGCACACGGGGTTGAATACGACGCCATAGATAGCTTCGGGAAGAGCATGAATGAGCCAACTAGGGCCACCTTTAAAAGATTAAGTTGAGATGGCAGTCCTATTCAGTTACCTGTCTTAGGCATATGTACAGTGACATCATCCCTACAGTGGCATCATCGCTCAGCAAGCAGCTCACGACCATGAGCCCTGCCTTATATACCTTACATGGGTGCGCACACAGTCGTAAAACCCTACCTTGATTGTCAGCGTCTCATTTTGTCATGCCTCCCACTCCCCAACCACAATCGCTCGCTGGAGCTCGTCGGCAGGGATGGATCCCAGAACTGTGTGCGCCTCTTACCTCACACCCCTTTACAGTCACATTGCAATCTTGCCTCACAGCACTTAAACAGTTACAGATCACTGTACCTCACATCCCAGTCAAATCCCCCTCACCTGGAGCTCGTCAGCAGGGATGGATCCCAGAACTGTGAGCGCCTCTCGCAGGTCAGCGTTGGATTTCACCTCGGGCAGCTGAAAACTTCCCTCTGTGGCCGCCAGGATGGTGACCTGGCAGAAAACAGGACAGAGCAGGGAATGAGGGAGAAACACGTAGAAGATTTGGGATTATATGGTAAGTTGATCAGGGGGGGGAAATGTAGAAGTTTCGGGGTTACAAGGTAAGTTGACCAGGGGGAAGCGCATAGAAGATTTGGGGTTATGGTAAGTCGGACAGAATTATGAAGGCAAGAGGAGACACACGATGAGCAGCAGAAAGGGGGCGAGAACGGAGGAATTTCGCCGGGCAGGATAACGATGTTCATTAATCTGCTGCGTGTTCATTAAAAACTAAATGTTGTTTACTGTAGTGGTGCGCGTACCACAATGTATTCGCTGTTCATTCGCTGCTCGCTTGGCTGGCGCTCCAACTGTTTCCGCACATCACCAACATTCACAAGAGTCTCCTCCTTGAACTTGCTGCGCTCGCCCATGCTCAGGCGGTTGAATGCCGCCTCGCCCTCGTACGAGTCGTTCGCAGTCTCGGACTGTGTGGGGAACATGAAGGATTAATGGACAAAATGAGTATTGACAAAATGTTAAGATAATTGGAATGAACAGAGTGTATGTGAATGAGGGGAAGGAGGAAAAGGGGCATCATACTCGGAATGGGTGACGTGGGATACGTTGAGGGTACACTGTACAAGGGGAGGGAAGGTGAGATAAAAGATGGAGGGGAGGGGGGGGAGGGAGGGAGGGGAGGGGAGGGGGTGAACGTTGTGGGCCCGGGAAGTAGGAGAAAGAGAGACCAACAGCAAAGAAAGGGAAAGAGAAAGTGAGGGAGAAAAGGTGGGGGAGTAGGGGAGAAGGTATGGAGAAAAGGAGGGGGCGGTGGAGGAAGTTGAGGGGGATATCATACCGAGGTGAAGCCATAGATGCAGTAGTCGGGGTTGCGCAGCAGAGCCAGGACGGTTTCTGTGAGGGGCAACGGGTCAGAAGAGGGAGTCAATGCAGGTGGGTCATTTCAAGGTAACGGGTGAGTCAACCAAGGTCAAATGCGGATGTCAAAGAGCCCAGAGCAAGTGAAGATCGGTGGCAAACGAATAGCATAGAGCGCTTATCCTGGAGGACGGGGAGCAGCCCATCCTGCGAGCTGGTATGAACGCGCGAGGACGGCAGGGCCACGAGGCCATCTGGTACCGGCAACTAGCCGCAGGGCAGGCTTCCCGTGGCTCCCCACGCCGCCGAAATCGCTTGGCCCTTGCCTTTACCGCACAGCATAGACCCTTACCCTGAAGGATGGTGTGCAGCCCCTCCAACGAGCGTGCGACGCCATCCGAACTTGCAGGGCAGGGGCCCTTGTCTACCAAACGCATGGGCGCGCTCACCTTGCAGGATAGTGTGCAGCCCCTCCTGCGAGCCGGTGTCAGCGCGCGACGCCATCTGGTCCAGGTCGCGCTGAAGCTTCCTCGCCGTGCCCAGCAGGCCCACCTGATGGGGAGAAAACCGGGGAACCGGGCAACAATGGAAAAACAGGAGAGGCAGCACCATCTTTGTTTCGTTCCATTTCCTTAGAGCGCATGTAGAATGCGAACGGGCCATGTGTTAAGCAGATTTGTGCTTCCCGCCGACGCGTACGTGCGCTCCACACCTCCAGTGACCCATTGCCCTTTCTTACTGTCTCGCTTTACCTTTTCTCGCCCAGGTCCGCCTAGAATCCTCAACCAGTGCCCATAAGGGGGACGTGCCATCCGCTCACCTGAAGCCTCACGACACTGCTCCGCTGCGTCTCCGCCCACACCTCCTCTTCCGCCGAGTCCGCGAGGAACCCCATGACGGTCTGCGCGATGAAGAACACGGCGATCCCGAGGATCAGGAACCCGAACAGCCCGCCGCCTCCGCCCAGCGAGATCGTGGGGCCGAAGAACGGGAACCCGAAGAACGGCGTCGGCATGAAGAACGGCACCACGGGCGGCGCCACGATCACCGGCGCGGGCGCGCCGTACGTCGCGGCGGGCGGCGCGTAGGTGTTTGCGCGCGACGCGGAGAAGGAGCTTCCGCCGACGCGCCCGCCGCCCTGCGCGGCGAGCGCGTCGTTCGGCGCGCCGGTGAGGACGAAGGCGATGAGGGCCGCTGCGAGGATGGGCTTGACGGCGGCCTTGACGGCTTCCGTGACGGAAGCCGTCAGCTTGGCGGGGAAGTGTGCCAATGAGACGGGCGCGGAGGCGGAAGCGGAAGACGACCCAGCATCATTGCTCCTATCTGCGGAAGCGCACACGCGGACTCGACGCGAAGCGACGGGAGAGGCGGAGGAGAATGGAGATGTCTGGGAGGCTAATTGGGTGTTAGCCGCAAGGCGCGCTGAGCTGGACAGGGACTGCTGCTTCTTCGAAGCAAGCAGGAGAGGTGCGAGGTCTTTGCAAGGGAGCACGCCGGCCTGGAATGCGACTGCGGAAGCCATTTACGTTTATCCTAGTCAAAATGTTCAGTCTGATTGGGTTCGGCTGGAGGGCGCTATGGCGCTGGTCGAAATTGAGCAAAGATGGTGCAAAATTCTCAGCTAGCTGATGAATGGGGCTTCCTAGCACTGAAATATCGACTGGAGCAGAGGCCCTTCCCTAGGCCCGTTGCAATAGGCCTGGATGAGTTTCGGAATGTTCTAGATTTCTAGATGCTCCTCTTGACCGTCGGATGAGACGGAGCTCGGGATGCTGACACAGATGCGCCGTCCCTTAGCAACTGCACTAGGATAGCGGCTCGGGTGCAAGCCAGTGAGAGGGGGAGAGGGCAGTAGAACTGGTTGCATCCGAGCTGGATTTGAGCGCGAGATTCGTCGGGCGCTGCTGGACTAAGGGCGGATGGGGAAGGCTCAGTGGATTGCAAGTGAGGGTCATTCATTTTGCCACGTCAGACAATCTGAACGGCGGCTTGCTTTCTGGCCCACGTGCAAGCCAAGAATCGTGCCAACAAGGAAGCAAATTATCCTCCTAGGTCGTTTGTCAGTTTATATAAGTTTGCACTATTTCATTTGCAAATAAGACAAGACTATAGTTAAGATGTTATATCCTGTACCCCTCCTGGTTCGTGTTGATAACTGCTAATTGCGCTTGTTCAACACTCCCACATGCCAGATGGATATCCCCTCACCCAAGCTGTCACACAGGGGAGCTCTTTTTCCGCTAGCGAGAAATTCATGCTTAGCCTAGCTAGATACCTTAATCCCTCATGTTGGAAATACCTCAAGGACTTAAGCGTTTCTGAAGTGTAACACCACACTCGAGGAAGGTCGTAACGGGTACGCGAGTCAACAGAGGTTACACGAGGGGATGGATGTTATGAATGAACAAGCAGAGTAGTGCGGAAATGAATAACGAAGTGTTCACTCAATGAATGACGATACAAGGAATGGCAAGCCAAGATATAGGAACACCAGAGCTAGTCTAACCATGCGATGGGAAGGTTCGGGAAGGAGATCGAAGGGTCTCGAAGTGACGCAGCGAGGCCTGGAGAACTCCCGAAGGTCGAATTAGCAGGTCTGGAGAAGCCGAGGCGGTTCTGTCAGAAGGTCTGGAACAGTCCCGAGGCTTCGGGTGTGTTCGAGCGTACGCGATAGCAGTACCGCTCGGTAAGGAATGGAAAATTCCTTGCACCACCCCCTCCTTAGCGAAGGTGATCTATATCAGCCACGTGCTTGCGGTCGAAATAATTCGCAAGTATCGAAGGTGGCTGTATCTGGTCCGAGGGCACCCACGTATCGTCCTCACTGATACGATTGGTCCATCGTATCAGAAAGTCAACGCGTCGTCCTTGACCGTCGATACGAATCCGATGGCTCAAGATCTTCGAAGGCTCGATGGTCGTCTCAGCTGGTGGCCGTACATCTGGGATCAATCGCTGTCGAGCGATGTCCGACGTGTCAGGAACAAAGGGTCGCAACAGGCTCACATGGAATTTGTTGTGAATACGCCAGTCATAAGGTAGTCGTAGTTGGGCGGTCACCGGCGTCACCATCTTTACGATCTTGAATGGGCCACAGAAACGTGGTCGTAATTTCGTCAGTAGTGGTAGTCGTAAATTCTTGGTGTCCAAAAGGACTAGTTGCCCTGTTGCCATTGTAATATCCCGTCGATGTAAATCCGCATACCGTCGGGCAGTTGCGTTCGCCTTGCGGATAAGTTCGACAGCTTTGTCTCGGACAGTCTGTAAGTCCTCGACAAACTGCTGCGATCGTGGTACTTGACTCTTAACATTGGTGGAGATCAGCACTGTAGGGTCCATCCCGTAATTGAGATAAAACGGGGAGTGATTAGTCGTAGCCGAGGGCGCGTTGTTGTAGGAAAATTCCAACATGGGCAGCACGTCCTCCCATTTGTTCCGGTCGGGGCAGTTTGTCCGAATCAGCTGCTCCATCGTTTGATTCGTCCGTTCCGTCTGGCCGTCCGTTTGAGGATGATAAGCGGATGAGAATTGTAGACGCGTGCCGTACCGAGCCCACGTGTCCTGCCAGAATTTTGACGTGAACTTCGGGTCTCGATCGCTAATGATTGCTGCTGGTATCTCGTGTAGGCGAACGACGGTCGAGATGAACAAGCGCGCTGTTTCTTCGGTTGTGATGGTTGTACGACATGGGGCGAAGTGCGCCATTTTCGTTAATCGGTCGACGACAACCAACACTGCGTCGTTTCCGCTGGGTCCGGCCGGTAGTCCCGTAACGAAATCCATCGTTACGTGTTGCCATGGGCGTTGAGGTGGCTCGAGGGGCTGCAACAGTCCTGCAGGTCGCTGGTGTGAGGATTTCATTCGCTGGCAGATCGGACACGCGGCCACGTAACGCTGCACGTCCGTCACCATATTTGGCCAGTAATAAAACCGCTGCAACGCCTTCAAAGTTTTATCAAACCCGAAATGTCCCGATAAATTCGAATCGTGGACTTCTTGAATTAGGAATTCGCGAAGTAGACGATAACTTGGGACCCAAATTCGATCAGTCCCGCTTCGTAAGTAATAGACGCCTTTTCGTGTAGTGATTGGGAGATGGCCGTCATTTACGAAAAAGGGGTCAGTCGAATACCCGTGGGTAAATAGTCCACTCAGTAGCGGGTTGCTCTGGGCGACTAGTACTGCTGCGAGTTGGGCAGATGGTCTGGAGAGGGCGTCGGCAATATTGTTGGCGCCTTTTTTGTACGTGATCTTGTACGTGAAGTTGGACTCCAAATAGTCCAGCCAGCGTATCTGCGCGGGTTGAGATTCGGCTGCGCCCTCAGGCACTGTAGTGATTTGTGATCAGTTCGCACCGTCACGTCTGCTCCAGTCAGGTAGCACCTCCAGATTTTGAACGCGTGGACGATCACCAGCATCTCCTTGTCGTGCACCGTGAAGTTGCGCTCAGCAGATTGCATTTTCCGAGACTCGTACGCGATTGGTTGAAGCCCATTGCCGAAATCCTGCATGAGCGCTGCTCCGATGGCGATGTCACTTGCGTCGGTGATGACTTCGAAGGGCCGTTCCGGTTCAGCAATGCGAAGTACCGGTGGCGACATTAAAAGTTTCTTTAATGCCTCGAACGCAGCTTGCTGCTTCTCCCCCCACTCATAACAAGTTCCCTCTTG